CCTGAATCCAAGCCTGGCTTGGGAAAACGGGCTCAGCTTTCCCCCTTTTCCCCCTTTTATCCCGTGAATATTCAGCAGGGAAATCTTCATTCCCAAATTTAGAGGAGAACCTTCGAGCTCCGCCTCTTCCCACTCCGTTTTCCCCCCTCTGTGTTTTCCCTTTTTTTTTCCCCCCCACCCAGATCCCATCCTGCTTCATCATCCAAATGCCCCGTTTCGGGAAGGAATATAAAATGTTCAGCAAGATCCTCCCTTCCCTGGAGCTGGATATAACAGACCTGCTGCTGGACAGTGAGTCGGGAATGACGGGCTGGGAACTCTCGGGATGGTGGGGGGGGGGGGGGGGAAAAATTCCCGCCTGGATTTGGAGGTGGGATGTGGAAAAGGCCCAGCCCTCTGGTGGCTCCTTCCTGCAGGTCCCAGGGAATGCTGCCTGTGTGGAGATGTGGCCACCCTGGAGTGCCTGGAATGTTTCAAGGATGGGGTGTTCGCAGCCACGGGGCTCAAGCAGTTCTGCAGCTCCTGCTCCAGACAGGTATTTCCCATGGATGCTCCCGGAATTCCCGCTCCGGACGGGGTTGGAATCTCCCTGGAATTCCCCTGGATGTTGGGCACAGAGCCCCTTTCCCTCCTGGGAGTCGTTCCCGCAGGGAATGAACCCTCTGCTTACACAGAGCCTGAGGAATCGTGGAATCCTAAAATCGTGGAATGGCTCAGGTTGGGAGGGAGCTTAAGGAGCATGGAATTCCAACCCCCTGCCATGGGCAGGGACACTTCCCACTGTCCCAGGTTGCTCCAAGCCCTGTCCAACCTGGTCCTGGACACTTCTAGGGATGAGACATCCACGGGTTCTCTGGACAGCCTATTCCATAAAATCCCACAAATCCCAACCTATTCCATAAACCCCCACAAATCCCAACCTATTCCATAAACCCCCACAAATCCCAACCTATTCCATAAACCCCCACAAATCCCAACCTATTCTATAAACCCCCACAAATCCCAACCTATTCCATAAACCCCCACAAATCCCAACCTATTCTATAAAACCCCACAAATCCCAATCTATTCCATAAAAAAACCCTTAATCCTGCACAAACTGGCTGCTGATCCCTCCCCCTGAGCATTCCCACAATTCTCAGAGGGTGACAGGCTCCACTTCCAGCTTCTTCCTGCCAGGCTGCTGCCACAACAGCATTCCCAACCATCCAGGAGTCAGATAATTTGGGAATACACTGGGAATGTGACCCCTGTCCCCTCTCCCAGGGTCAATCCATCCCCCCCCCATCAATCCCAGCATATCCCCTTCCTTTAGAATAATTCCCATCCCTTCCCTCAGGATCATTCCCATCATCTCCCTCAGGATCATTTCCGTCATCTCTTCAGGATCATTCCAATTCCCTCCCTCAGGATGATTCCCATCCCTTCCCTCAGCATCATTCCCACCCTCCCTCAGGATCATTCCCATCCCCTCCCTTGGGATCATTCCCACTCCTTCCTCAGGATCATTCCCACCCCTTCCTCAGCATCATTCCCATCATCTCCCTCAGGATCATTCCCACCTCCTCCCCTCAGCATCATTTCCATCCCCTCAGCTTCATTCCCATCATCTTCCTCAGCATCATTCCCATCATCTTCCTCAGCATCATTCCCAATCCTTCCTCAGCATCATTCCCAATCCTTCCTCAGCATCATTCCCATCCCCTCAGCATCATTCCCATCCCTCCCTCAGGATCATTTCCATCATCTCTTCAGGATCACTCTTATTCCCTCAGCATCATTCCCACCGCTTCCTCAGCATCATTCCCATCATCTCCCTCGGGATCATTCCCATCATCTCCCTCAGCATCATTCCCATCTTCTCCCTCAAGATCATTCCCATCTTCTCGCTCAGGATCATTCCCTTCACCTCCCTCGGGATCATTTCCATCATTTCCCTCAGCATCATTCCCTTCACCTCCCTCAGCACCATTCCCATCCCCTCAGGACCATTCCCACCCTCCCTCAGCATCAATCCCATCTTCTCCCTCAGCATCATTTCCATTCTCTCTTCAGGATCATTCCAATTCCCTCCCTCGAGATCATTCCTGTCTCTTCCCTCAGCATCATTCCCACCCTCCCCCAGGATCATTCCCATCCCCTCCCTTGGGATCATTCCCACTCCTTCCTCAGGATCATTCCCACCCCTTCCCCAGCATCATTCCCATCCCCTCAGGATCATTCCTGTCCCCACCCTTGAGATCATTCCCATCTCTTTATCAGCATCATTTCCATCATCTCTTTAGGATCATTCCAATTCTCTCAGGATCATTCCCACCTCCTCCCCTCAGCATCATTTCCATCCCCTCAGCATCATTCCCATCATCGTCCTCAGCATCATTCCCACCCCTCCCTCAGGATCATTCCCATTCCCTCCCTCAGCACCATTCCCATCCCCTCAGGACCATTCCCACCCTCCCTCAGCATCATTCCCACCCCTCCCTCAGGATCATTCCCATCATCTCTTCAGGATCATTCCAATTCCCTCCCTCAGCATCATTCCCATCCCCTCAGGACCATTCCCGTGTTCTCCCTCAGCATCATTCCTGTCTTCTCCCTCAGGATCATTCCCATCTCCTCGCTCAGGATCATTCCCTTCACCTCCCTCGGGATCATTTTCATCATTTCCCTCAGCAGCATTCCCACCCTCCCTCAGCATCATTCCCATCATTTCCCTCAGGATCATTCCCATCTCCTCGCTCAGGATCATTCCCTTCACCTCCTTCGGGATCATTTCCATCATTTCCCTCAGCATCATTCCCACCCCTCAGCACCATTCCCGCCCCTCAGCACCATTCCCACCCCTCATCACCATTCCCACCCTCCCTCAACCTCATCCCCCCCTCTCCCCCAGGTCCATTCCCACCCCCGGCGCGGGGGGCACCGCCCGTCTCTCCTGCGGCTCCCGGCGGAATTCCGGGGCTGGAAGGGCGGGCGGATCCCTCGGGAGCGGCTGGAGCTGTTCGCGGTGCTGTGCATCGAGACCAGTCACTACGTGGCCTTCGTGCGCTACGGCCCCGGCCCCCAGCACTGGATGTTCTTCGACAGCATGGCCGACCGGCACGGTGAGCCCCGGGAATGCGGGAATTCCCCAGGGAATTCCCTGCCCCTGCTTTGGTCCTTCTGTGCGGCTCCCGCTCCTGCTCTTCCCAAGAGAGCCGCCTGGGATCCTGCCTGTTGGGATCTTCCCATCCAGGAAAAAAAAACAAAAAACCAAAAAAAATAACCCAACCACTTCTGAGCTCTCCCTGGAAGGGAAAATCGGGATAAAGTAACTCCCTGCCTTGGGAAAATCGGGATAAAATCCTTGTCCTTGTTCTCTCGGGGAGAGCCGAGAAGGGGTTTGAGGGCAGGGCCGGCAGGGTCCAGATTTATCCCTTTGGATAAATTTATCCCTTTGGATAAATCTGGGATGTGGCCAGCGTGCTCCGATCCCAGAGCCTTCCCAGCAGGGATGTGATCCCAGGACTCCACCAAGCGGGATGAGGGGCCGGAGGGAAGCCCAAACTAAGGGATGTGTTGGGAGCACAGGAGGGGATTGTTGGATTTCTGGGCTCTCAGCACAAAGGGAGTTCAGTCTCTCCCTGGATCTTGCTTCCATTGAATTAGATCCCAGGGAAAAGTGGGAGTTATTCCAGGTGGTTCCATCCATGGCCAGACCATGGTGGGAATTATTCCAGGTGATTCCATCCATGGCCAGGCCAAGGTGGGAATTATTCCAGAGATTCCATCCATGGCCAGGCCAAGGTGGGAATTATTCCAGAGATTCCATCCATGGCCAGGCCAAGGTGGGAATTATTTCAGCGATTCCATCCTCTGGCTACGTTCAAACACAGGGATTTAATCCCAGACCCAGCTGGGCATGGATTGTTCTCCTGTTCCTTCCCACTTTGTTCTTATCATGGAATGGTTTGGGTTGGAAGGGAATTTTGGAGGTCAAGGAATTCCAACACCCTTTCTATGGGAAGGGACACTTCCCACTATCTTAGGTTGCTCCAAGCTTTCCTTGGACACTTCCAGGGATCCAGGGGCAGCCATAACTTCTCTGGGAATGCCATCCCAACCCCTCCCCACCCTCCCAGCCAGGAATTCCTTCCCAATATCCCCCCTAACCCTGGGCAGCCATTCCCTGTGTCCCGTCCCTCCACCCCTCATCCCAATTCCCCCTCCAGCTCTCCTGGAGCCCCTTCAGACCCTGGAACGTGGATGTTCTCCCCTCATCCCACCTCTTCCCGTCCTTTTGGGAAGCAAAAGCACGAGTGGATCTCATCCTTCGGGATCTGAGCTTGGTCTTCCCTCCTTCCCCCCCCCTCTCCAGGCGGCGAGAGCGGCTTCAACATTCCCGCGGTGACGCTGTGCCCGGAGGTCGCCAAATACCTGGAACTGCCCCTGGCTGAGCTGGCCCTGGAGCAGCCTCGGGAGATGGATGGAGTGGCCAAGAGGCTCTTCTGTGACGCCTACATGTACCTGTTCCAGAGCCGGAAAATGGCCCTCTACAAGTGACACGGAGCGGCCTCGGGAATCCGGGAAAAAACCCCCCTGGGGCGGGAAGAGCCGAGCGCGGTCGCTCCCGAGCTCTGCCGGCGTATCCCGCCATCCACAGGTTTGGCAGGTCCAGGCTTTGCCCCCCCCGTGGTGGTTGGGACTTGGGGCGCAGCTGGAATTTCGGGATTTTCCCTCCCCCACCTTCCTGTTCTTCCCGAAGCCGAGGAGCAGCAGGAAGCGGAAGCGCCGGGATTTATTTGCACGGAATCTGCAGCTTCCCCTTCCCTGAAAACACCCTCAACCCACCCGGATTTGGGGGCAGGGGGAGAACCTGTGGTGGAGATGGATCAGGAGATCCCTTGTCCCTGGATTATCCGCGCTTCCCTTTATCCAGCACTTTTTTTTTTCTTTTCCCCCTCGTTTTCAACCACTTGAGCTGAAAATATCCTTTCAAAGCAGATATTCCTGGCAGATGAAAACTGGGAGAGGGCTGGAGCTCCTGCTGCTCCCTCCCTTTGGCAAAATTCCCACGGGATTCGGGGTTTTCACCTCATTTTTTTTTTTTTTTGCACTTCCTGTCCTGGTGGTTTTGGTTTTTTTTCATCTACTTCCAAACACCGGAATTCCAAGGGAAAAAAACAGGAAAAAACCCCAAAGGAGCACTTTGGGATTTCCCGAGGGAGGGGATCCTTCCACTTCGGATAAGTCACCCCTGGAGTTCTGGGCTGGACGAAGGAAGAGATTCCAAGGAAAAGCCCTGAAGGTGATGAAGGGATTGGAGCAGGAGAGGCTGGAAGGGCCGGGATTGTCCATCCTGGAGAAGGGAAATCTCTTCCTTATCCATAAATCCCGGAAGGGACCTTTTGGAGTTTCTCTACAGTGATGGGACCGAAGCGGTTCCGCTTTGATTCCCTCGGAACATCGGGAATCACATCCCAGGGGGGCACAGGAGGAATTCCACTTGTCCCTCCAAGCTGTTCTTCATTCCTCTTTTCCCAAAAAAACTCGGGACAGCCTTTCCACAGGTCCAGGGAATTCCTCTATTTTTGGTGCTTGGCTCTAAAAACAAACAGAAAAAAAAAAATAAAAAAGGAATTTACGGCAAAATATTCCCGGTTTTCCTGGAGTTCCCTAAAAGCAGGATACGGTGCCCAGAGATGGAGCGTTGCCACGGGATGCTCCAGCATCCTGTTGGGAATTTTGGGAATAGTGACCAGCAGGCCACAGGTCGTTAATCGTTAAATCACTCCTAATTATTGTCTTCCCTGTTAATGTGCTGGGAAGATCCAAAGCAGGGAGGGTGGGAAGGATCCCTGGGAATGGGGATTGTCCTCCTGATGGAGCTGCAGAGGGGTTTGCACTGGAATTTGGGGTTTTCACTGGAATTTGGGGGTTTTATTGGAATTAGGGGGTTTTACTGGAATTTGGGGTTTTTATTGGAATTTGGGGGTTTTGTTGGAATTAGAGTTTTTCTATGGAATTAGGGTTTTTACTGGAATTAGGGAGTTTTACTGGAATTAGGTTTTTTACTGGAATTAGGGTTTTTACTGGAATTAGGATTTTCACTGGAATTAGGAAGCTTGGAATAGGGAAGGCAAAGTATCAGCCAGGGATGTCCCAGGGGTGTCCCCCAGAATATCCCAAGGATGTCCCAGGGATGTCCCAGGTCACCTTTTGGTGGGAAGATCCTTTTTTGTGGACCAGGGTTTGGTCTCCAGGGGGTCGTTCCCCGTCCCTGGGACCCTCTCCGGGATGTCCCTGTCCCCTGCAGCTCCCTCCCGTGTCCCCTGCAGGTCCCTCCCGTGTCCCCTCCCCGTGTCCCCGCTGTCCCCACGCCCCGGCTGGAGAAGCCGAAGGTTCGGAGGCCCCGCGGGGCGGGGACACGGGGACAGGGGAGGGGACACGGGGACAGGGATGGGGACACAAGGACACGGGAGGGGACACGGGGACGGGGATGGGGACACGGGGACAAGGGAGGGGACACGGGACAGGGGAGGGGACACAGGGACAGGGATGGGGACACAGGGACGGGGATGGGGACACAGGGACGGGGATGGGGACACAGGGGGACACAGGGATGGTGACACGCGGGACACAGCGGGACGGTGACACACGGGACACGGGGATGGTGGCACAGGGGGACACAGAGATGGTGACACACGGGACACAGGGATGGTGGCACACGGGACACAGAGATGGTGACACGCGGGACACAGGGATGGCACACGGGACACAGGGATGGTGGCACAGGGGGACACACCGGGCTGGTGACACACAGTGCCACCAGTGCCCGCAGGACAAGCGACACCGGGGACAGGGCGGGCAGAGGCGCCATCGCGGGGCGGGGACACCGCGACAGGGGAGGGGACACGGGGAGGGAGGGACGGGGTGGGTGGCACCCGCGACAGCGGAAGGGATGGTGGCACACGGGGGACACGCGACACAGGGGGAAGGGACACGCAGGGATGGCGACAGACACACAGGGGACACAGCAGGCACAGGGACACCAGGCATTCCCAGCTCCAGGGATATGGGACATTCCCAGCTCCAGGGATTTGGGACATTCCCAGCTCCATGGGATCCTGTACACACTCAGGAATGTCACCTTCCCACAGCCCCAGTGACCCGGGCATGGAATCGATGGGAAAGGAGGGATGAAATCCATCCCAAACCACCAATTCCTGGATGTTTCCTGCTGATTCATCCTGTTTTTTTTTTTCTGTAGGGAATGAGGGCGGGAGTTTCTCCCTTGGGAAAGGAGAGTGGAAGCCCCTTTGGCACTTCCAGCCCTTCCCCAAAATTTGGGTCCTCCCCTCTCCTCTCCCAAGATCTTTCCTTTCCCAAAGGGAACGCTTTGGGTTGGAAGGGACCTGAAAGCTGCTGGAATTCCAAACCCCCTGCCAGTGGAGCAGGGAACAACCAACCTCCCACCAGCCCAGGCTGCTCCAACATCCCCCCACCCCTCCCCCTGGGAATCCCCTCTGGAAAAGAGGGAATAAACCACCACCGCTCCGATCTGCAGCTTTTATTGTTCCTGTTCCAGAGGGTGGGGGGAAAAAAAAAAACAAAAGGGATCCGTTTTTTTCCCACTTTAAATCTTGTTGAAAGCGGCGATGTCCACGCTCTGCACCTGCAGGGAGAGAGAGAGAGAGCGGAGGGTGATTCCCGGGAAAATCCCAACAAACTCCCCCCCTCTCCCCCTTCCCTCTCCCACAACTCACGTAGTCCTCGAACTTGGTGATCTCCTCCTCCAGGATGTCGGTTCCCACTTTCTCATCCTCCACCACGCACTGGATCTGGAGTTTCCGGATGCCGTATCCCACGGGAACGAGCTTGGACGCCCCCCAGAGCAGCCCGTCCATGCGGATGGAGCGCACGCGCTCCTCCAGCTGCCCCATGTCCGTCTCGTCGTCCCACTTGGGAAGGAGGGAGGGAGGGAGGGAGGGAGGGGGGAAAAAAAGCGGGAAGGGTTTTGGTAACAGAGCTCTCTCCTCTCGGAATTCCGAGGGGACAGCGGGATGAGCCGGTGGATCCAAAGCGCCCTTTTCCCAGAGGGTTTGTTTCTGCCTGGAAGGATCCAGGGAGAGCGGGGAGAGACTCCAAAGGGGTTCCAGGAGAGCTGGAGGGGGGGGTTTGGGATGAGGGAGGATGAGGGACACAGGGAATGGCTTCCCAGGGTTAGGTGGGATATTGGGAAGGAATTCTTGGCTGGGCTGCAATTCCCAGAGAAGCTGTGGCTGCCCCTGGATCCCTGGAAGTGTCCAAGAACAGCTTGGAGCAAGCTGGCATAGCAGGATTCCCTGCCCACAGCAGGAGGTTGGAATTCCGCGATCCTTAAGGTCCCTCCTCACCCCAAACCATCCCGGGATTCCAGGCGACACATCCCAGCGGGAACACCCCCGCTGGCTCCAAGGCTTTGGAATTCCGGAGAAGCGGATTCCCCCACCTTCCCTCCCGACTCTCACCGGCTTCACATCCAGCAGGATGGAGGACTTGGCCACGATTCCCGGTTTCTTGGCCTTCTTCTCCGCGTACTGCCGGAGCCGCTCCTCCCGCACCTTGGCGGCCTCCTCGTCCTCCTCCTCGTCGCTCCCGAACAGGTCGATGTCGTCATCGTCGTCACCCTCATCAGCAGCAGCAGCAGCAGCCACGGCCGGCGCCGGTTTCTTGGCCGGGAGCTCCACTTTTTTGGAGGGAACGCTGAAAGGCTCCACTTTCTACGGAAGGGGCGGGCGGGAAAACGGGAGAGGGGGAAGGGGGAAAAATATTAAAGGGGAAAGGGGAGGAGGGAAAAAAGGGAGAAGGCGAAGGAAAAAGGGGAATGAAATATTAAGGGAAAAGGGGAAAGGGGGAAAGGGGGAAAAGGGGGAAAAGGGGAAAAAAAAGGGAGAAAATGAAGGGAAAAGGGGATAAAATATTAAGGGAAAAGAGAAAAGGGAAAATGGGAGAAGGGAAAAAGAAAAGGGAGAAGGGAAAAAGAAAAGGGAGAAGGGAGAAAGGGGAGAAGGGAAATGGAATATTAAGGAAAAAGGAGAAGAGGTGAAGGAGAAAGGGCAGGAGACAGTAAGGGAAAATGGGGAGAAGGGAAAAAGGGAAAAGATATTAAGGGAAAAGGGGGACAAGATAAAAAAAAGGGAGAAGATGAAACAAAAAGGGGAGAAAAGAAAATGGGGAAGAAGGGAAAACGGGAAGAAGGGAAAATGGGGAGAAGGGAAAAAGGGAAAAGATTAAGGGAAAAGGAGGGCAAGATGAAAAAAAAGGGAGAAGATGAAGGAAAAAGGGGATAAAATATTAAGGAAAAAGGGGAGAAGGGAAAAAGGGAAGAAGGGAAAAGGGAAAAAAGCGGGGGGAAAGGAAAAAAGGGGGGAGAAGGGAAAAGGGGAAAAGATATTAAGGGAAAAAGGGGACAAGATGAAGAAAAAGGGAGAAGGTGAAGGAAAATGGGAACAAGGTGAAGGAAAATGGGAACAAGGTGAAGGAAAATGGGAACAAGGTGAAGGAAAATGGGAACAAGGTGAAGGAAAATGGGAACAAGGTGAACTCGGAGCAGAGCAGCCCAAAAGCCCTGGGATGGGAACGCTCCAGCCCCTGAATTTGGGAGCAGAACCCCAGGATATCCAACCCCCTGGTCACTGACCCAGCTGGAATTCCGTTCCCAGAAGGTGGGAACGCCTTTCCAAGGGTTTTCCCGAGGCTCACCTGGGTTGGAGGGACGGGAGAGGGCTGGTGGGAGCCCGAGGAGGATTTTTCCAGAGCGTTCAGGCGGCTCTCCAGCTTGAAGATGGCCATCTGCAGGTCTGCCACCACTGGGAAAAGCGGGAAAAAAAAAACACGGGAATAACGACCTCCCTTTCCCAAGATTGCAATCCCAAGGATCCTCCTCCCCACTCACCAGTGCGGAGGTTTTGGTTTTCCACCTCCAGGTGGGAGATCCTGGCCAGGAGCTCGTTCTGGTCTCCGGCGGCGCCGCCGCTCTGGAATGAGGGAAAAGCGGGATGAGACGGAGCCGTTTCCTTCCCTTTTCCCAAAAAAATCCCACCAGCAAAGCCCTTTAGGAGCTGGACTAAAATCATGGATATTCCACCCCCTTCGAGGTTTAATAGGAACGAACGGAGCGGCTCCGGGACGGAACAAATCCCGGAATTCCAGCTTTTCCCTGCTCTTGGATCCCCCAAAACGCCGCTGGGAACGTGGAAAACCGATCCCAGATTTCACAGCAAGCCCCCTGAAAAATCCTGGGATCTCTCAATCTCCTCTCCCAACAATCAGAGGCGGGAAGAGATCCCGGGATTTCTGCGCTCCCACATTCCCAGTCTTTAATTCCCAACAATTTAAACCTGGGTTTCACAAATCCCGAGGGAATTCTGGATCCTCGGGATTCCAATGGGTTTTTTTTTTTTTGCCAGCACAAAAATAAAAGGGTTTATTTAGTTTGGTTTGGTTTTGTTAAGGAGGTTCCTTATCCAGCAATTCCAGGGGGAAAAGGGAACGAAAACAGCGGGATTGGTGCTCGGAGAGGAATTTCCAAGGGAATTTAAACGGGGAGGATGATTTATCCTGCATGGAATTCCAAGGTTCTCCAAGGAGATCTTATTTGGGATGGAGAGAAGGGAGAAAACAGGGAAAGGGAAAAGCAGGCCTGAGAATCCCAGAAATCCCGGAATGGTTTGGGATGGAAGGGATGATCCCACGGAAAGGGAGAGCTCCCACCATCCCAGGCTGCTCCAACCGGGCCTTGGGATGGGGCTGGGAAAGTCCCGGAGCGGGAAAGGTCAGGGAGACCTTCCCCATCCACACCAAAACGGGCGGGAAGCTCCGGAAATCCCATTTTTTCCAAGCCTCAGGAATTCCAGAGCCGGGGAACCGGGAAGGCCTCAACTCTTTCCCCCCCCCCCCCCTCCAATCCCAGGATTATCCAGCCAGGATTATCCATTCAGGAGCTGAGATCCCGGTGCTGGGAGGCAGGAAAAGGGGGGTCCATCCTGAGGGAAGGAGCCTCTGGATCCCAAGCCCGTCCTGTCCCATTTCCTTGGAAAACTTACGGAGCAGGAACGGCCCGGCCGCTTCCGGGGACGGCCACTCGGAGCTTCCCGGTTCCCGGGAACAGCAGGAGCAGCAGGAAGAGCAGGAGGAGGAGCAGGAGGAGCAGCAGGAGGAGCAGGAGTCTTCTGCTGCAGGGAGCGGAAAAGGTGGGAAGAGGGGAAAAGTTGGGAAGATTGGGAAAAGGTTGAGAAGATGAGAAAAGCGTGGGAAGACAAGAAGAGCTTGGGAAGAGGGGGAAAGGTTGGGAAGAGGGAAAAGGTTGGGATGAGGGAAAAGGTTGGGAAAAGGGGGAAAAGTTTGGGAAGAGGGAAAAGCGTGGGAAGACAAGCTTGGCAAGAGGGGAAAAGTTGGGAAGACAGGGAAAGGTTGGGAAGATGTGTCAAGTTTAGGAAGAGGGAAAAGGTTGGGAAGAGAGGAAAAGGTTGGGAAGAGAGGAAAAGGTTGGGAAGAGAGGAAAAGGTTGGGGAAAGTTTAGGAAGAGGGAAAAGGTTGGGAAGACAAGAAGAGCTTGGGAAGAAGGAAAATGTTGGGAAGAGGGGAAAAGCATGGGAAGATAAAAGCTTGGGAAGAGGGAAAAGGTTGGGAAGAGAGGAAAGGTTGGGAAGAGGGGAAAAGCTTGGGAAAAGTTTGGGAAGAGGAAAAAGTTTAGGAATAGGGGAAAGGCTGGGAAGAGGGGAAAAGCTTGGGAAGACGTGTGAAGTTTGGGAAGAGGGAAAAGGTTGGGAAGAGGGAGAAGGCTGGGAAGAGGGAAAAGGTTGGGAAGACAGGAAAAATTTGGGAAAAGTTTAGGAAGAGGGAAAAGGTTGGGAAGAGGGAGAAGGTTGGGAAGAGGGAGAAGGTTGGGAAGAGGGGAAAAGGTTGGGAAAAGTTTGGGAAGAGGGAAAAGTTTAGGAATAGGGGAAAAGGTTGGGAAGAGGAGAAAAGCTCGGGAAGAGGGGGAAAAGGTTGGGAAGACAGGAAAAATGTGGGAAAAGTTTAGGAAGAGGGAAAAGGTTGGGAAGACAAGAAGAGCTTGGGAAGAGGGAAAATGTTGGGAAGAGGGGAAAAGCATGGGAAGACAAGAAGAGCTTGGGAAGAGGGAAAAGGTTGGGAAGACGAGAAAACCATGGGAAGACAAGAAGAGCTTGGGAAGAGGGAAATGGTTGGGAAGAAGGGAAAAGTTTGGGAAGATGGGAAAAGGTTGGTAAGGGGGAAAAAGGTTGGGAAGGGGGGAAAATTTGGGAAAAGGTTGGGAAGAGGGGAAAAGGTTGGGAAGAGGAAGAAGGTTGGGAAGAGGGGAAAAGGTTGGGAAGACAGGGAAAGGTTGGGAAGACAGGGAAAGGTTGGGAAGATGTGTGAAGTTTAGGAAGAGGGGAAAGATTGGGAAGAGGGAAAAGGTTGGGAAGACTGAGAGGCAGCTGGAGGGCGGGAAAGCACAGGCGGGAAAAGGGGCCACATCCACAGGGATCCACAGGGATCCACAGGGATCCAGAGGGATCCAGAGGGATCCACAGGGATCCAGAGGAATCCAGAGGGATCCAGAGGGATCCAGAGGGATCCACAATCCCTCTGGGAATGGCAGTGGTTCCACCCTCACCCAGCCCTTTCCGGGAAGGAATTTTCCCAACATTCCACCTGGAACCTCCCCGGGAACATCCAGGGGTCGTTTCCCCCCATCCTGTCCCTCCTTCCCTGGGAGCGATCCCAAATCCCACCCGGATCCAGGGAATTCCCTCAGGAATTTCTCCCGCTCCAAACAAATGCCTGGGAATTTTTATAAGAATTCCAAAATTCCCAAGGTGGGGGGGGAATGGGAAGTTCCACAGCATTCCCTTTTTTAAGGATGAAGCCCCTCAATCCCGAATTTTTAATCCCTAATTTTAGGGCTGGATCCATCTAAAAAACATTCCATGCTTGGAATAACACTGGTATTCCACTGGAATTCCACTGGAATTCCAAATCCCAGCACATGAAATCCCCAGGGAGGAATTCCCAAGGGTTCAAACAGATCCCAAGCCGAGGAAGGTTGGGATGGGAAGATGTTTTTCCCTAAAATCCGGTTCCCTAAAATACAGATCCAACAGCAGAGATCCAGTTTTTTCCTCCTGGGAATTCCCGGTTTTCCCAACAACTGAGGTGCTCCAGACCTTAAACACTGGAGGGGAAAACAGGGAAGAGAAGGTGGATCCCAAAAAAACCCAACATTCCAGCGTTTCCCTACTTAGCCAAGACCTGGGAAAATATCCCAGTATGGAAAAAAAAGGCGGGAAAAGCCCCACTGAGGGAATTTTTCCCCAAATCCATGAATTTTCCTTCCCTATAAAACCACTCCTTAATTTCATATTTCAGCTTCCTCTTGGAAAAACTGGGAATTCTCTCAGTGTTCTCCTTACTCAGCATAAAATCACATTCCCGAGGGAATATCCCAGTAGGAAAAAAAAAAAAAAAGGCGGGAAAAGCTCCCCCTTCTTGCAGAGAATCCCTGGAATTCCTGGGCTCGGGAATTGTGGGAATTAGGGGGGTACTCACCCCTTCCAGGGATTTCTGGATGTTCTCCCGGGCCCGGGCGATGTCCCTCAGGATGGTGCTGGCTCCGTTCTCCTGCAAAGAATCCACGGATTCCTCGGGAAAAGGCACCGGGAATATCCCAGGGAAAAGCCAAGGGGAAGGAGGGAAGTGGGAATTGTCCCTTTGGGGGATTTCCGGATGGAGCGAGGTGGGAAAGGTGCCAGAGGGTTGGAATGAGTCCAGTATTCCCTAAAAATCCAGCCCCAGGCAGGATTTTTCCATAGGATTCCCACAGTTCAGGCAGGAAGTGGAAGTTTTTTATGGAATATTCCCTGTGGTCAGGAAATGAAAATTATCATTCCAAGCCTCGTATCCAGACCCAAAATTCCAGCACACAGGGAATTTTTTCCCTGTGCTCCTGCCTGGAATCCTTGGAAAGCTGCAAAAGGGTTGGAATTACTCCAATATTCCTTAGAAATCCAGCCTTAAGCAGCTTTTTTTCCATAAAATTCCCCGTGTCCAGGAAGTGCCAACCGTCATTCCAAGCCTCGTATCCAGACCCAAAATTCCAGCACACAGGGAATTCTTTATTCCCTGTTTTCCTGCTCCCCAAAAAAAACTTCCCCTGGATTTGAAGATCCCCTTTCCCAGGAATTCCCTTCCTTCTCCCCCCTCAAAACCGGGAAAACTCTTCCCAAGCCCCAAATCCCGGGATAAAGAGGCAGGAAAAGAGGGACACCAGTCTGGATCCATCCCAATGGGAAGCACTTCCAGGCCCTGGGGACATTTTTCCATGGAAAAAAACCAGCTTGATAAACTCCAGAAATCCCTGAAATCCCAGGGAAAAGCGGGAATTTGGGAATACTTTCACTCTTCCAAGAGTTAAATCCGACTTCCAGGATTCACCCTGAGCTTCCCAGTTTTTATTATTCCCAAGAAAAAAGGGATTATGGAAGGCAAAGCTTCCCTTAAAACACTTGGAAAAAGGGTCTGGATTCTCCCCCCATCCAAAGGCAGGAGAGGGAAGAGGTTGGGAAAGCTCAGGAGCTTCCCAAAGGAATGATTTTGGGATAATATTTCAGCTGGATTTGCTTCCCTCTCCAGTTTTTCCACTTCAAAACTCCCCAGTTCCATCCCCGGCACTCCAGGGAAAAGCTCCCTTTGGAAAAAATCCCCGGCACTAAATGGAAAAATCCCTGGCACTGTGTGGGAAAATCCCTGGGAAAAAATCCCTGGAACCACAGGGAAAAATCCCTGGAAAAATCTCTGGCAACCAGGGAAAAATCCCTGACATTATGAGGGAAAAATCCCTGGAAAAAATCTCTGGAACTACATGGAAATATCCCTGGAAAAAAATCCCTGGTACTGCAGGGAAAAATCCCTGAGACTATGAGGGAAAAATCCCTGGAAAAAATCTCTGGAACTACATGGAAAAATCCCTGGAACTCCAGGGAAAAATCCCTGGAAAAATCTCTGACACTACATGGAAAAATCCCTGGAAAAAAATCCCTGGCACTCCATTGGAAAAACCTTTGGTAATACAGGGAAAAATCCCTGGAAAAATCCCTGGCACTACATGGAAACATCCCTGGCACTGTGTGGGAAAATCCCTGGAAAAAAAATCCTTGTCACTACAGGGAAAAATCCCTGGAAAAAATCTTTGGCACTACAGGGGAAAATTCCTGGAAAAATCCCTGGCACTAGAAGGGAAAAATCCCTGGAAAAAAATCTCTGTAACTACATGGAAAAATCCCTGGGAAAATTAAGCATACAAGGCCACCTGACCATCCAATTCCCTGGGATCAAATCCTTCAGAATCCATAAAAAAAAAAATCTTGGAATACCAAAAGGCAACCCAACCAAAAAACAAGAACCCAAACGGGTCGTCTTTGGGCGTCGGCTCGGGAATAACCGGGAAAACTCGGGAAAAACCCAACCCTGAGAGCGGGAATCCCTTTCCCCCCTTCCCTCCCAAATCCCGGGGGGAATTCCCGAGGTTGGGAATTACCTGGGGGCGGGAGGGGCCGCCCAAGGGGCCGTTGAGGCGCTCGTAGAACCTGCGCTCGGCATCGTCGTACTTGTGCTTCTCCAGCCACACCTTGTCGTGCAGGAAATGATCCAGAGCCATTTTCCTGGGAAAACGGGGGGAAAAACAAACCCAAACCCGTCAGGAATCAGGAGAGCAAGGATGGGAAGCGGGGGGGAAAAGGTTCCCCGGGAATGTTTTCCGGGCCCAAGGCACGGCGGGAAAGGGTTTAAAGGCTGAGGATAAAAGCGGATTAAGGAGCAGCGACCTGGCCTGGGCAGGGCTTGGATCCCGGAAAAAAAAACCTTTCCAGGGATTTTTAGGGGGTGGGAGAAGGGGGGTTTGGGCATTGGGAGTGTTTGCCCTGGGGTGGTTGGGATTTTTCTCCATGGAATGAGAGGGATTTTTCCCATGGAATGACAGGGATTTTTCCCAGGGAATGAGAAGGATTTTTCCCAAGGAATGACAGGGATTTTTTCCACGGAGTGACAGGGATTTTTCTCCATGGAATGACAGGGATTTTTCCCATGGAATGACAAGGATTTTCCCCATGGAATGACAGGGATTTTTCCCAAGGAATGAGAGGGATTTTCTCCGTGGAATGAGAGGGATTTTTCACAGGGAATGACAAGGATTTTCCCCATGGAATGAGAAGGATTTTTCCCCGTAGTGTCAGGGATTTTTCCCATGGAATGACAGGGATTTTCCTCTGTAGTGACAGAAATTTCTCACACAAAATGAGAGGAATTTTTCCCATGGAATGACAGGGAGTTTTTCCATGGAGTGACAGGGATTTTTCCCATGGAATGACAAGGATTTTTCCCAAGGAATGACAGGGATTTTCCCAATGGAATGAGAGGAATTTTCCCCAAAGAATGACAAGGATTTTTCCCATGGAATGATAGGGATGTTCCCCCTCGAATGACAGGGATTTTCTCCATGGAGTGACAGGGATTTTCCCCACGGAATGACAGGGATTTTTCCCATGGAATGAAAGGGATTTTCTCCTGTAGTATTAGAGATTTTTCCCATGGAATGACAGGGATTTTTCTCAATGGAATGAGAGGAATTTTCTCCATGGAATGACAGGGATTTTTCCCATGGAATGACAAGGATTTTTCCCAAGGAATGAGAGGGATTTTTCTCCATGGAATGAGAGGGATTTTTCCCTGTAGTGACAAGGATTTTTCCCATGAAATGAGAGGGATTTTTCCCATGGAATGACAGGGATTTTTCACAGGGAATGACAGAGATTTTTCTCCTGTAATGGCAGGGATTTTCCCAATGGAATGACAGGGATTTTCCCCAAAGAATGACAAGGATGTTCCCCATGGATGAGAGGGATTTTTCCAGTGGAATTAGAGGAATTTTTCCCTGTAGTGTCAGAGACTTTCCCCATGGAATAACAGGGATTTTTCCCCATGGAATGACAGGGATTTTTCCCATGGAATGAGAGGGATTTTCTCCATGGAGTGACTGGGATTTTTCACAGGGAATGACAGGGATTTTTCCCCTGGAATGATAGGGATTTTTCCATGGAATGAAAGGGATTTTCTCCTGTAGTATTAGAGATTTTTCCCATGGAATGACAGGGATTTTTCCCATGGAATGAGAAGGATTTTTCCCTGTAGTGTCAGGGATTTTTCCCAGGGAATGACAGGGATTTTCCTCTGTAGTGACAGAAATTTCTCACACAAAATGAGAGGGATTTTTCTCCATGGAATGACAGGGAGTTTTTCCATGGAGTGACAGGGATTTTTCACAGGGAATGAGAGGGATTTTTCCCACGGAATGACAGGGATTTTTCCCATGGAATGAGAAGGATTTTTCTTCATGGAATGACAGGGATTTTTCCCTGCAGTGTCAGGGATTTTTCCCATGGAATGACAGGGATTTTTCACAGGGAATAAGAGGAATTTTCCCCATGGAATGACAGGGATTTTCCCCATGGAATGACAGGGATTTTCTCCTCTAGTTTCAGGGATTTTCCCCTGTAGTGACAGAAATTTCTCACACAAAATGAGAGGAATTTTTCCCATGGAATGACAGGGACTTTTTCCATGGAGTGACAGGGATTTTTCCCATGGAATGACAAGGATTTTTCCCATGGAATGATAGGGATTTTTCCCATGGAATGAGAGGGATTTTCTCTGTGGAATGAGAGGGATTTTTCACAGGGAATTACAAGGATTTTCTCCATGGAATGACGGGGATTTTCCCTATGGAATGACAGGGATTTTTCCCTGCAGCTTCAGGGAAATGACAGAGATTTCACAGGGAATGACAAGAGATTTTCCCCATGGAATGACATGGATTTTCCCATGGAATGACAGGGATTTCCCTCATGAAACGACAGGGATTTTTCCCACAAAGTGCCAGGGATTTTTCCCTGTAGTGTCCTGTATCCTTGATTTTCCCAGACTACCACGACAGGGCTGGGATCTGGAATATTTGGGATCTTTGGGATCCCATTTTGAGCCTGAAACCCCTAAAATTCCCCAACTCTCTCCTGGGCTGGAAGAGTTTCCCTCTCCCCCCTTTTTCCAGGGAAAACCCCAAGTTGCTCCAACTCTGGACCTTGTGGAGGAGAATTCCAAGGGAACGGGAATGTGGAATTGTGGAATGGTTTGGGTGGAAAGGGATGTGAAAGGCTTGGAATTCCAACCCCATTCCCGTTTTCTACGGATCAGGATGAGCCAAGATCTGTCCAAGCTGGATTTGGACACTTCCAGGCATGGAAAATCCACAGGGAAATTGTGATAATCGTTGGGAATATTTGGAAGGGACAGGCCTGGAACTACAGGGACAAAATTCCTGGAAAAAAATTCCTGGCATTGCACGGAAAAAATCTCTGGCACTACGTGGGAAAAGAATGGAAAAATCCCTGGCACTCCATGGAAAAATAGTGATTGCTACAGGGAAAAAAATCCCTATGGAAAAATCCCTGGAATTACAGGGGAAAAAAATCCTTGTCACTACATAGAAAAATCATGGAAAAATCCTTGTCCCTACATGGGAAAAATTCCTGGCACTACCTGGAAAAACGCCTGGCATTCCATGGGATAAACCATTCCCAATCCTGCCAGGAAATGGTGGGATTTTTAAGGAGCAGCTTCCCAAGGTGGTTGGATTGGAAGGGAAACGGGAAGAGGGGAAGGGATGAGGCCGGAATTCCAGCTGGGAACGGGGACGGAGCCGGGATTGGAGGAGGTGGAAAACAGGGATGGAGCAGCACAAGGAAAACACACCTGGATCAGGGTCCACCCCAACCTGCTCATCCCAAATCCCGGAGTTTTCCAACAAAACGCTGCCAGGGAAGCCGAGAGATGAATGAAAGGTTGATGCTCCAAGAGCCCTTTTTTTCCCGGGAATGTCGGCTCTATCCCAGTACCAGCCTTTGGAAAGGATCCCAAGGCATTCCCAAAACTCCCCTGGAATGTAACAACCTTTTCCCTCCGGAACCCGAAGCCCAGCACGTATTCCCAAAGGAATCATTCCCTAAAATTCATCTCCAAACCTTCTTCCGGCTGGGAATGCCGCTCACTCTGCCATGGAATGAGGGTATGGAAAGGAGGAAGGTCCTGAATCCATGGAAAAAAACAAAAAAAAAGGGAGGGAACACCGAGCTCCATTCCCAAATCCAACCAGAATCCACCAGAATCCAATCAGGAGCGGGATGGGGGGGGGGGGAAATTCCCACCAGGAACTCCCGCAAGGAATTCCTCCCGATCTTCTCCGCATGCAAAAACTCCTCCTGGGCTCAATCCCGGGAATTCTTTTGCCTGTTCCCACCTCCCCCCCCTTCCCACCATCCCTTCCCAACGAAACATCTCCTACTTCGTTCCCGGAGCCGGGATCGGCGGGGAAGGATTTCCCAAGGGAGATTCCCGAACGCCGGCGGCTCTGGAAGCTTCCATGGAAAAGAAGCGGGATTCGGCTCTGTCGTAGGAGAGTTTGTGGAGCCAGACGGATTCGCTATCCCGGTGCAGGAAGAAACAAGCTGGGATATCCTCGGGAATCCCGGGGATTTCCCCTCTCTTCCCGCCCTTCTTGGGAGCTTCCCGGTTTTTCTCCCGCCGGGAATCCTTGGAGAACATCCTCTCGTAGAAGTTCCTCTCGGCGCTGTCGTACAGGGGTTTTTCCAGCCACGCTTCCGCCGCCACCAGCGCTTCCCAGTTGGGAATCTGTGGCTTCCCGTTCACCGGCGGCCGCTCCGAGCCGGGAAAAGCGGGAAGGGCGGAGCCGGGAACGGCGGGAGTGGCAGGGGTGGGCAGGGCGGTGCCGTAACCCTCGTCCGCCGGCGTTCCCAGCCCGGAATTCCAGCCGGGGGATGGGATAACCAGGAGGGCGGGAGGCGGGAAAAGTTGGGATTTTTCCATGAAGGCTCCCTCGGCTCTGTCGAATTCCAGCTTGTTGATCCAAACCCCTTGGACGACGTGGTGGCAGGCGGCAAAATTCCCGTGGGAGCAGCGGGGGAACGCCCTGCCCTTGGGAATGGCGGGGTTGGATTTCGCCCCGGAATCCATCGGGAATTCCTCTGGGATTTGCGGATTTCCAGGAGTTTCCCCGCTCCAGGAATCCAGGAGTTTCTCCCTGTAAATGTTTTCCGCCCGGTCGTACAAGGGCTTGTCGAACCACACTCGCTCGGCCGCCATTCCCAGCAGGAATTCCGGTCGGGAATCGCCACTCCTGGCTTTGGGAGAGCGTTTCCTTTTCCGCTGTTTCTTCCCATTCCGGGATTTCTTGAGCTCGCCGTCGGCGGATTCCTCGGGGCAGACGCCGTTGATTTGGGAGGCGCCGCCGTCGGGATCCGCTTCCCGCTCGCATTCCTGGGATTTGTGTTTTTCCGGCCAGGCTTTGTCCGCCGGGCAGGGATTTTTCCGCGTCCTCATCTTTTCCCAGAAAAAAAACCACCAAAATAAAACAAGAAGGGAAGGAGGGAGAGAACAAGCACAGCAAAGGCAGCGGGAAAGCGGGAAGTTTCCACGGGAAAAGCGGGAATATCCCTTTTTTTTTTTTTTTTTTTTAAATCCCGTTTTTTTCCCTCTTTTGGGAATTTGAATTCCCAGGAAGCCCAAAACGTTCTTCCCTACAGGATCCCAAATTTCCTTCCCAGCGCTTCAAACTTCCCGTTTCGGTTTTTCCACATTAAAAGGAAATCAAAAACAACCAAAAAAAAAAAAAGGGATTTTGGGGAAATCCCTGGGAATTCCCAAGTTTTAACGGATGGGTCGGGAGTTATTCCCACCCGAGCACAATTTCAAGGGAAAAACTGATCCCAAATTGGGAGTTTTTCCAGGTTGTTCCTCACCCCAGGTTGTGTTTTCCCCCTGGAAAAGCGGGATTTTATCCGGGATTAAAAATCCCAAATAGCGGCAAATTCCACTTCCGGTTTTTAAATTCAGTTTTAAACTTCAATTTTTAAACTTCAATTTTTAAACTTCAATTTTTAAACTTCCATTTTAAACTTAATTATTAAACAATTTTTAAACTTAAGCTCCAATTTTAAACTTCAATTTTAAACTTTTAATTTTTATACTTAATTTTTAAACTCAATTTTTAAACTCGATTTTTAAACCTCGATTTTTAAACCTCAATTTTTAAACTTCCATTTTAAACTCAATTTTTAAGCCTCAATTTTTAAACTTCAATTTTTAAACTTCCATTTTAAACTCAATTTTTAAGCCTCAATTTTTAAACTCAATTTTTAAACTTCAATTTTTAAACTTCAATTTTTAAACTTCCATTTTAAACCTAATTATGAAACAGTTTTTAAACTTAAGCTCCAATATTAAACTTCAATTTTAAACTTCAATTTTAAACTTTCAATTTTTAAACTCAATTTTTAAACCTCAATTTTTAAACCTCAATTTTTAAACTCTATTTTAAACTTTATTTTTAGGTTTTATTTTTAAACTTCCATTTTAAACCTAATTATTAAACAATTTTTAAACTTAAGCTCCAATATTAAACTTCAATTTTAAACTTCAATTTTAAACTTCAATTTTAAACTTTCAATTTTTAAACTTAATTTTTAAACTCAATTTTTAAACTTCTATTTTAAACTCAATTTTTAAACTCAATTTTTAGGTTTTATTTTTAAACTTCCATTTCAAACTTAATTATTAAACAATTTTTAAACTTAAGCTCCAAATTTAAACTTCAATTTTAAACTTTAATTTTTAAGCTCAATTTTTAAGCTCAGTTTTTAAACTCAATTTTTAAACTTAATTTTAAAACTCAATTTTTTAACTCAAATTTTTAACTTAGTTGTTAAACTTTAATTTTTAAACTCAACTTTTAAACTTCAACTTTTAAACTTCAACTTTTAAACTTCAACTTTTAAACTTCAACTTTTTACTTAATTTTTAAACTTAATTTTTAATTACAATTTCTAAGCTCCAATTTTTAAACACAATTTTTAAGCTCCCATTTTTTAAACTTCAATTTTTAACTTTTTATTTTTAAACTTAATTTTTAAGCTTTATTTTTAAACTTCAATTTTAAACCTATTTATTAAACAATTTTTAAACTTAAGCTTCAATTTTTAAACTTCAATTTTGAAACTTAATTTTTAAACCTCAGTTTTTAAACCTTATTTTACATAATTTTTAAACTTAATTTTTAAACTTAATTGTTAAACTTTAATTTTTAAACTTCAATTTTTAAACTCAACTTTTAAGCACAATTTTTAAATTTAATTTAAAACTTCAACTTTTAAACTTCAACTTTTAAACTTCAACTTTTAAACTTCAACTTTTAAACTTCAACTTTTTACTTAGTTTTTAAACTTTAATTTACCCTTAATTTTTAAACTTAATTTTTAAACACACTTTTTAAACTTTCAGTTTTTAAACTCCAATTTTTAAACTCCAATATTTAAACTTAATTTTAAATTTAATTTTTAAACTTCCATTTTTAAACCTCCATTTTTAAGCTCCAGTTTTTAAACCTAATTTTAAATTTTGATTTTTAAACTTAATTTTTGAACTTATTTTTTAAACAGTTTTTAAACACAATTTTAAACTTCAATTTTTAAACAAAATTTTTAAGCTTCAATTTCTAAACTTCAATTTTAAACCTAATTTTTCAACGACTCCAATTTTTAATCTTCAATTTCAAACTTAATTTTTAAACTTAATTTTAAACCTAATTTTAAACTTAAATTTTTTAACTTAAATTTTTAAACTTAAATTTTTAAACTTTAATTTTTAAAACTTTTTAAACAAATTTTAAACTTCAATTTTTAAACTTTAATTTTTAAGCTCCACTTTTAAACCCCATTTTTTAAACCTCACTTTTAAAAGCTTCTTAATTTTTAAACTTCACTTTTAAAACTTCCCTTTAAAACCCCACTTATTTAATACATTTTTAATTACAGGTGGGTTTGCCCCCTAAAAAAAAAAAAACCTAAAAATTTGGGGTTTAAACTCTTTTTAGATGATTTATTATATTTTTTAGTTACAGGGGATGAGGCACAACCCCCTAAAATATAAATTAAGATAAATCTATTAATATTTAAATAAATAGAAAATATTTCTAATTGTAAGTGATTTTTCACAAACCCCTTAACATAGAAATTAATACAAATATATTCCATTAATATTTAAATATATATAAAATGATATATGAATATACATTTCCAATAAAACATAAAATATTTTAAACGATGAGTCTATAAATATAAAACACAATTAATTATATTATTAAAGTATCAATACTAAATACCATTAAACCCAGGAAATGTAAAATAAAAATAAAATTGATAAAAGATTATTAGAAAATAATATTTCTAGAAATATAAAACAAAAATTGATTTTTTATTTTCCAGGTGATTTTGCACCCAAAAAAAACCCCTAAAATTGGGGGTTTAATTTATTTTTAAATTGTTTAATATACTTTTTAATTATGGGGCATTTTGCAGAACTCCCCTAAGATATAAATTAATATCGATATATTCCTTTAATACTTCAATAAATAGAAAATATTTTGATTTACAAATGATTTTGCACAAGACCCCTGAAAATATAAATTACTAATAAAATAAAATTCATTAAAATATTAATAGCAACTAACTAAATAAAATATATTTCAATAGATTTCTATATAAACATATAAATAATATCTATAAATAAAATATAAAATAATAGAAATATAAAATAAAAATACATTTTTTATTTCCAGCTGATTTTCCACTTAAAAAAAAAACCCTAAAATTTAGGATTTAACACTCATTTTTTTAATTAAAAGTGATTTTTTTTTTCCCTCCACTTTTGAAGCACCTCTGGAATTGCACCCCCCCCCCCCCAAGGATGAATCACTGAGGAATTCCACAGGAATTCCCTAGGGGAGGAATTCCCAGGAGATTCCCTCCAATCCCACAAATCCAAAGAGCTGAAATTAATGAAAAAACCCAAAAAAACCCACCCAAACCACCCTGAAAATTCCCGAATTCCAAGAAAACCACCCCGTTTTATCCAACAAATATCCCCTCCCCCTCGATATTCCCAGATTTTTCCAGGATTCCCAAAAAAAAAACCCCCTGACAAAGGGTACTTACTTTTTTTAGCTCCTAGGAAAGCATTAAAAAAAACAGGGATAACATCAGAGAAAATTCCCAGTTTTTTTCAGGGATCACCAGGAACAAGATCCAAATTAATTAATAATTAACCAACTCAATACTTAACACATTTAATTCCGAATAAAACCCGGGAGTTTCCCAGAATTCCACGGAATTCATGGATAAACCACACCCCACCCCCACCCCAATTTATTCCCATTTCCAAGATCAAGGAAAAGAACATCATTGTGGGTTTATCCAGAAGGATTTTCCCATCCCAATCCCGATTTTTGGGCGATTGAAACACCCCAACGATTCCCAAAAATGGAATTCTTGCCATTCCCGAGGCGGTTTTTTTGCTTCCTCAGCAAAAAAAAAAAAAAAAAAGGCGGATTTTTAAGGAATTCCAAGTTTAAAACCGATGGAAAAATCGGGAAAAATGAAGTTTTCTGCTCCGTGTCCGTCGCTTTTCCCGAAATAACCCGGGAAAAAGGGGGTTTTCCCGTCGCTTTTCCACCCCAAAAAATTCCACCAGAAGTTTGGGATTCCCAAGCGTTCCGAGGTTTTGGGAATGTTTGTTCTCTGCAGGCGTCGAATTCCAGCCTGGGGGAATTCGGGATGAGGGGGTCGGAGATCCCGGAGGGGAACGGGAATAAATCCCACCAAATCCAAATCCAAACGTTCCGCTCGGTGTTTCCAAGATTTTGCTCCTCCTAAAGCGGTTCTTTGCGCCGTTTAATTCCCGAAAATCCGGTTCTTTCCCAGTTTTCCTGCTCTTTCCATTCCCTAAAATTCCCGGGTCTTTTCCGGCTCAGGACACCAGCGGGAATTTTCATCCTCCCCTTGGCAAAGCTCCCCAATTCCCAGGAAAAGGCAATTCCTGACCTTAAAGCCGCGCTCAGGGAGGACGAGGAAATCAGGGATTTGGGAATTCAGAGGGAAGGAAAGACTGGGATAACAGACGGGAATAAACAGCTCAGGGGGAGGGAAAATTCCTACCTGAAGGTGAGGGAGAAACGGGAAACACCTGGAAAAAAAACCAAAACATGGAGAGGGAAGAGTTACGGCCCAGCAGCGGGAATTTTCTCATCCCTAAGGATCGTGATCATGGAATTCCAACTGAACTCCAAAGGGAAGATCAGCAGAACTCCAGGGGAGGATTTTCCAGGGCTCCAAAGAAAAAAGTTGGGAGAGGCGGCCAAG